TCGAGTTGCTACTTGTTTTAATTTTGACCGGTACGATTTCGATGAAATAAATGTTTAGTATGAATGGGTATTGTTACACGTGTGCAAGCTTAATTTGACGAATTTTTTATCATTGTCAAACACCTCGTTAGACGCTCCTTTCAGACAAAAGTAACTGATTAACGAATATAAATAAAAGGAACGGCAGTTTTATTTTTTCGAAATATTACCCGCCATTGTGATGTTATCCCCACGTCGTTACGCGTACATATTAGTCTATAAATCTCTCGCCATTGACTGTGTCCTACTCAACTACCCGTCCCTTTAAAACTCCCCACGTGTAACAAACGACAATATTAAACTTGTACAATATCCCTGGACTAAAGAATCAGTCCTCCCCTATCCATCTTCGAGAACAACGCTTACCTAATACCTAACCTCTATCATCATCTATCACACGCAACGCATTAGATGCTTGTCTAACTGTATTCAAACATCGTTGACCAGTTCTTCGTTTCTTTCTCGATGCATCGTTACTTGTGTCCAATGTTCAAAACATTCTAATTTATTTGTTTTCAGACTCGATATAAATACACTTCACAGTTTCGCGATTCTATTTCGAACTACGTTATATTTTCCGTGAGGTTAGAGATTCGGGATGAATCGGAAAAATTCGGCTAGAATCGGGTAAGATTCTCGATATATCCCGAATTTTTCCGATCTTTCCCGAAGTCGTTTCCGAGACTGACAAAATTGTACATTCCTGTATTTCCGCACAGTGTTTCGAAATAAATCCATAAATCTTTTTACTTTTCGTTTTAAAAGGCCATTACTAGAAAAAAATATTTTCCTCATCGACTCGATATGGGTTTGTTTTCACGTGTGGATACGAGACGAAACGAATCGCGCGTCACTGAGCACCATGTGCTGCGGCCAATTGGACGAGGGCTCAGGTAGAAAAACGCGTTCCAGGCCCTCGGCTTGTAAAACGCATCTGGCGAGCGGAATCGCTTCAGGCCTCTGCAATTTTTTCGCTGTTTCTCTCTATCGATCGTGTTATTTGTAAATCGGCTAAATAACGTATCCCCGGCTTAGATAAGTTGTACTTATCCGTGTTCGTATCTCGTAATAAAATCTATCTCACCATATACTTTTACGTGTTTCGCGGAATCACGAGATGTCCTATGATCTAGTACACGCTAGAACACATATTATAAAGAATCAATCGGTGACTTCCTATTTGGAAACGAAGGCAACGAAACGAGCTCGTTCTGACTTATTTAACGATTTAAAGTGATTTCATTGGCATTCGGTGAATCGTGTATCGTATTATTTAACGTTGATTCAAATCGTTCAGCGTTATACAGCGATCTAGAGTATAGATGGTTTAATTACGCGAATCAAGTTCGATTCAGCGGCACAATGTTTTACAGTTAATCGTATAATTAGACGTATATGATTATGGAAATACAGTGTAGAGAAACGAATTGTCGTGGCGGACGAGTTATTACAGCTACTTCCGTATAATCCTCCTTATTGACGGGACAATAGTTGGGATCGAATGTAACACAAGTTCGTAACGAAATTATTAAGTGGGCGTCCCGTGCCCCGTAACGGGATCGATAGGGAAGAACGGTAATGCTCGACGACTCCGTGATCGATTCCAATTGACTGCATAACTCATCTCAGCCAACCTTTAACCTTTTCGGTGTACGCGCCGACTGACAAGTTGTTACACCGGCTGCGCGTTTCAATGCCCGTGTAAATGTATGCATATAGGATGGTTGTACATAGGTTTGAGAGTGGTGTTTCTTCCACGTAGAGTAAACGCATCTAATATCGCCATACGTAATATCTCGAGGAAGTGTTGAGGTAATATCGGTAGTAAAGTGAACTAATAGCCAAAAATGTGTACAGATATAGCGAGTACGCTTGCGGTTATGCACGTGTAACGAATGAAACTTGATAACGCAAACGTCCATCGAATATTTTTCACATTGTTATCAAAGTTGTTAAAAAGATTCAATAGCGGTAATTGAATATTTTTTAATCGAATTTCTCGCCAATCATTTTACACTCGATATTGAAAAGAACGAAATATTTTTCTTTACGATTAAAAGTTAATTATGTAACTTTTTCGAATATTAATTATAAGACGAGTGTCATTTTTAATCCTTCAGAATTATTCGGATAATAATTATTACAGATAATTGCATAATAATTTTAATGATTTTATGCATAATACGTTTCTCGATAGCAAAAATAACAAAAATTAAATATTATGTGCACGACATGATAAACAAATTGTTCAGCAAGCTACTTGCATCTCTTAATTAATAATTTCGAACCTGATAGTAGAATCAACAAAATGCATAATTCTCAATCATCAAAATATCTCTTATAGTTATAAAAAAACTCTTAATTTATAATTAAAATACTACCAAATTTCCTAAATTTCCAAAATTTTCCTCCCACTAAACTCTCCTTCACTATCAAAAAAAATTTCACAAATTAAAATTCTCCCAAAGAATAGTCATAAGAAAAATGGGAATCAAAGATTAAAAAACTCTCTGTCGCAATAACCATCGAATCTCTCTCGGAGCATCCTCTTTCTCTCGAAAAAAAAAATCTCTTAGGGGAAACAAAAGTCCCTCGCGATCTCCTCGCGATCGTTCCACACGCAGGTATCGATGCCATATCGATCGAGATCGATTTGGGGGAGTTCTGTTCGGCGCAGGTGCACCATTTCCCAACGCGAAATTTATAGATCGATTCCGCGGTAATCCGCGGCCGAGCTAGCCCGAGGAAAGTCGAAAGGGATCGGCTTCGATTCAATGCCCTTATTCGCCCCGGGTATATACGTTACGCCGCGTTATCTCGATACAGGTGCGTGCGCGTCCCGCCGCGGAAGATGAACGGTCGTTAGAGAGAGGAAACGGTATGCAGATGAGAGAAGAGGAACTCACACTCGGTTTCGGCGCGGAAACCGTAGGCAGGCAGGATAGATAGGTAGGAGAGTCTCGCCTCGTCCCGATTTGGCGCGATTCCGCGATCATACGAAGCTTAAAACGGAAGACAGTTCCGCGATCGTTTACGTTACGTTTTCTCTCTCTGGAGCGGTTCGGTGTAATTCCTCTTGTCTGGTAAGGCGGTTGTCAGGTCGTGTGATAAACAACGGGGACCAATTAAAGTTGGTGGAAACGGTGGAGTACGTAGCAAGTACGAGAGATCCAGTAATTTAGTCTTTTCGCACGAGAATAGAAGGGATTCGCCAACGCGACGCCATCGATCAACTTCCTAGGTAATTCTAATTATGAGTTAGATAACGTTAAAAGGAGATCAAATGTGTCAGAAATTTAGCTTGTTCGTTAATCTATTTTGTAATTAATATTTTATGATCGAATTTATATATTCGATTAAATGGAAATTGGATAAAGACATTGAAACTTATTGAATTCTCAGTGAATTTTATCTCTACGTTTGTATTTGTATTTCGATATAATATAAAAGAAATCGTAATAAATCTTATAGGAAACATCGATTATCAGAGCTTACGATATGCATTAAAAAATAGCTGTATAACCGAATCCATTATTTATAGATATAGCTACACTCACGCTTTAGATCGCAATTTGAATCTCGTATATAACTGGTATTAAAACTGGTCTCGACCTCACGTTCGGTTAGACTGACCCGATAACACGGGTCTAATTCGCGACCCACTTCCCAGTCACGTTCCCTCCTCGAGTTACGCGGATTTCGTGGATCGCAATTAGGCGGGAAGAAAAAAGAGCGGGCTAATTCATGCGGGGCGAGCGAGCGGCCAATTTGAATTAATCGAAGCGTGCGGTAGCCGAGCCGGTGTTGGCGTAATTTGTAAAGTAACCACGCGGTTCGTACACATTATATAACCATAGAATACGTAATGCGTTTGGTGGTGGATCGCGGAGGCCAGACAAGAAGTCGCCATCGAAACGCGTCCGCCACACGCGCATCTATTTTAATCCACCGATATTATAATAATCGTCCGAGCGAACCGTTTCCCGCTCGTTGATCGCAGCATGGTCCACGCTGAATGAAGGGCCTCTCCTCGAGTCATGGAGAGCAACACGGTTCTTCCCCTCGAGGGGCCAAACCGACACGCCGCGTGTAATCACTGTAATTTCGAGCGTGGACCGGCGTAATTTTTCTTTTTTTTCTCTCCATTTTGACCGAGCCGATCGTGAACTTTCATTCGATTTCATTAAAACGACGGGAAACCCCGGGCAATCTTCGCAGGTCGTGCGACGATAACGCGACGTGACCGACCAATGATTCTATCCTGGATCCGTGTTACACGCCACTTTTCTCTTTTTTTTTTTCCGAGGCTAGAATTTTCGATTCTTTTACTTTAGAGAGGAATAAAAGCTGGAAAAGTATGTCAACGAGCCCTTAGAACAAAATATCGGTGAAGTATTCTCTTACGTTGCTTTTGTTTATGATGGGTCGTAGAAATGAATAAAATGAAAAAAGCGGAGTTTGAAAAACGAAAAATGCATCGTTAATAATACAGAATACGATTAAAAATGATCTGCAAGTAAAATCGGACCGTTTCCGCGTTTTAGACAGAAGGTATTTTTGATTGCATGTCGATATTAACGAATTACAATTGCGATAGAATTTGAAACGAAAATTGAGAAACAAAATAATCAATTAGCAAAAATTGTATCGACAACTATCGATAAAGTTATTCCTATTCACTCATCCGCTCAGAATATAAATCACTATCATTAAGAAATAATTTTAGAAAGCTTACAACTCACAACCGTAAAAATTTTTAATAAAAGCTCAATAAATCATTTTAGGTTAAAAACAATATATGATAATTATAATATCCATATATTGTATTGTAGTTATGAACGAATTCAATTCGTCGTGTAATAATAAGCATCAAAAATGTTATATAACTTCATAAAATGCTTATATATCAAGTCTATATCAAATGATAAAAAGAATAACGCAGAAAAAAAAGTAGGACTCACAGGCATCGATGGCGGCATTCCGCGCAGCGCAGCGCCGCTCCACTTGCGCTTTCTGTTTTGATACTGCGCGGTCCTGTAGCTATTATTGTTGTGATGACCGGTATACATCGGTGCACGCTGCTGCATCGATGGTCGAAACGCGGGATAAGCCATTCCAGGATATCCTTTCCCATGGTAATCACCAATCTCATATCTATGAGGATCGTGATGCATAAAAACACTGTCACTAGCGACACCAGACACGGGCACTCTGTAACGTTCCTGTTCGTGTTCATGCTCGTCAATTTTCCCAATAGGTCGATCTGGAGATGGTCTGGCGCCATGAAACGAGGGAGGTAGCATTGCTGGCCCATAGAAATGTGAAAATCCATAAGAATTCGAAAGCCCGGAATTTACCGGTCGTGGATAACCTTGATGGGGTGGCTGACACTGATTGATAATTTCGGAATTTGCATCGAACTTCGTTGGAACGATTGGTTTCCTGTCATAATGGTAATCGTGTTGAATGGCATGATATTCGTCTTGGGTTTCTCGTTTAACGTCGAACAGTTCCGTCGACTCCGGCGCTTCGATTTTAACCCGAACTCGACCGTCGGCGACGCCCGTGTTGGAGTTTTTCGGCGAATTTCTCGGGGCCGAATCCCCGTCGCCTACACTACCCTGCTGCATCCTAAGGATATCCACAGTGACGCGGCGGCCCGCGTCAAACTGCGAATCCGACCGTGTCGAATAACGGTCGAATCATAAATATGATCACGAATGTATTATGGCAATCGATGGATTGAACGAGCATTATTCGAGAACAATCGCGAACAAGTATTGTTGAAAAAGATTAAATAATTGATAATGTTGTACGTCGAAAAGTGTCGTGATCGCGTGCTATGATCGAATTTATCATAATCTTTAATAATTGTCCTTGATATCATGCGATCAGATGATGAAAAACGTGGCAAATACAATTAAATTTCAATCACTATTATCGATATCACTGCCATTTTCGTTTTTTTCGAAATATTATGAAAAAAAAAATTCGTTGAAAATTTTTCTAATATTACATTTGTATCGTTGTATTTCCTATTTGATTTTATAAATCATTAAAATTGGAGATTCGAAGTTCCAAGAGTGACGAGCATGAAAAAATGATATGGCGTCGTTTAAATATAATATATTCTTAGAGAAGCATCATCAATAAGCATCGCGATCGTGAAGCGTACGCTTGTATATCCAGCATGAAAAAATTGATCAGTCGAGCACAACGAAATAAAGAAGCGAAGAATCGAGGAGCGAACAGAAGCGTTCGGCGGCACGCTGTCGGTTGGTAGAAGCAGCGCTCGTATAGTTGGCTCGGTGCTTTTCGGTCGAGTGGAGGGGGTGAAGGAGGGGAGGACAAGGGCGGCGTGACAGTTTCCGTGTCACGTGTCCCCGACCTTAGGCCCCGCCTACGACTCCGATTTTCCTTCGGTCGGATCGTTACCTGGCCCTATCGGGGGCCCTTTCCTTCTCGTCATTCGTCGAGTGTCGCTTGTACGAGTCGCACGATTTCTATTGAGCGTCGGAAAACGAAGAAGAGATAGATTTTCTCCGAAGGGTTGTCACTTCCAGCTGGTTCTTGGCGCGAGCGAACGAACAAAGTGTCCACGATGCAGACACGCTTCAGAGCTTCTCTTCTTTCTCTTTTTCTCCCTCTCCGACAACGAAAGACGACAAGACGTCGTCGAGCGTGAAGCACCGTGTATACGTACGCGCAAGACGGACGACTCGCGTTTTCACCGTGTTCCGCGAACTTTTTACGGTACACTGCTTCGAGAATCCAGCGGCAACCGACGTGCTTGCTCTCGTTCAATCACACAGACAACAAGAAGGGGTCGAACCGTCCGGGGATCGAACCTGATTCTCTTGACGCGATGCCCGGTTTTACCTATCGCGATTGACGCTATCTCGCGATCAGGGTCACGAATTACGGGGAAAAAACACCATATCGGTCAAGAACGCAACGAGCATACGTAAGGATGCCGGATTGCCTCGGTCGAGCTGATCGCGTACGAGTTTCGTTCCACGCAGCGTGAAACTTGGCGGAGGTGCGCGGCCACCACCAGCTAGCGGGAACGCACGAGCCTGCCCGAATACGCCCGAGCTCCGATATATCTCCTCTACCTACGGAGTTGGCCGGTTGCCTCCCGCCTTCCGTAGACCTACACAGCTAGACCCACTTTGTGGGTTCACCTTTTGTTGAATCTACCAGTGCACTTCTATTCACGGTTTACTACTTCTTCTCGCGATGTGTCTACGCGTTCTCCGCCGCGTTTTCGCCCATTTACCGTCCCTCGACAAACCATATCTCTTTAAACGAACGTTCTTCGAACCTGTCTAACCTCTCCAAACCTGATTTCTTTTTTGCTTCTTTTTGTTACTGCTAGTCTAATTCTTTTGAAACGTAAGTAAATATAAATCTAAACGTTTCGAGTAGTTTTTATGTTCTATTTCTGTATGCTTTTGATTATCCTGTTTACTACGAAGAACGTAGATTGAAAATATCAATTGGATAATTCGCTTACCTCTTTCTTTATCTCGTTTTTGTATTCGCATTTTTACGTTCTTCTGAGATGTTTTCATGAACAATACGTAATCTCACTACAAAAAAAAGTAATAACGAATATAAATAAGACGCGGACACTTTTGCAATGAGAAGATTCGAGCTACTTATAGGCGAGATTTGAACTAGTATAACGTTACAGTTACAATATTACGATTAACTAATCGACCTACGTCGATAAAAAAGTTCGATTATGCGCAACTTCAGAGCATATAGTAGATTCGTCTGTCATTTTTGTTAGACTACAAATCCCGGTATGTAATGATTTTTATTTTTTTATAGTATTATGATTCTTATCGACTTTTATTAATTTATAGGCCTCTTTTATTTTTAAATTAATCAATTTTAGTATAGATTTCGATGCCCAGTGTATTAAGAGTGTTTAAAAGTAGCTTAAAAAAATATATATATTTGAAAAAAATAAATTCTAATTCTGATAAATCATAGACTTTATATTTGAAACATACTAAATTGTACGTAACAAATCAATATTATTTCATTTGACAAGTTTCTCTGTGTATAATTATTCATTGAGTGTTGCTAACATAACCAAAAAAAATTATCGAATTTGAAAAATTAATAAACATTCCTATTTCATTAAAGTATCATTTATATGTGACAAAGAAAATGTCAATTTGTTCAAAATAAATGAGAGATAGACAAGTATTAATAAATATCAAATGCCTAAATTAATTTAATGCAATTTATTTACCAATACTTTATGCATTGTTCGTTCCATTGTATGATACTTACATTGTATGTAATAAATTTGTTAATTTAAAGCAATTTATTTATCATTATTTGATTCTTCGCTCTATTGGCATATAATATCTATGATATATAATGAAATAATAAAGAATAAGTAAATAAAATTAGTCAAATACATCGTTTCATACGAACGCATTAAAAATAACATTGCAGCGAATATTCGACGCGAGTAGTCGATAAAGAAAGTACCTACAATTGTGGCACGAAAAGATGGAAATTTATCATTTTCGATTCTACGTTACCTTCAGCGTCTATTTCGATGAGAACCGCCATTCGCGATTCTGTGCGCGCCGTTACACGATATATCAGATTACGTATCCGTTGCGTCATGTAAATTGATACTTGTACACGGCTGAACACCACGAGCGAACATTTATTTGAGTGATAAATTATCGTAATGTCGAACAGTCACGCTTTCAATTCCAATTTTGCTAACTAGATCACCGAGCATCGCTCGACAACATAGTGGATGAGAGCTTAAGCCATGTTAAGTAGTCAAGACTCATACGACCGTTACACAATGAAACAAAGAAGGCATGAAAAAATTCAATCGTCCTTTTCAATTTTGCGATATTAGATATTTAAAAATTAAATTTATACATGTTTTTTAATCCGTTCAATTTATTCTTTTGTATTAATTCTTTTTTTTTCCTTTTTTTTTTTTTTTTATTATAGATCAGATTTTCCGTACATTCTCAACTATACCTAAATACCTTATTGGCAAGTAACGTATGCGTTTTTACCTGCGCCCCGGTTTCGAGACAAAGGAGACAAGATCCTCGACTCCCTTCTTTCGATCGTACAATAGTCCATGTACCTATGCGAATGCAGCTTCACAGCAGGATGACTGGTGAGAGAATTCAATTTCCATTGTCGTTATCGCAATTGCATCTTTCTCTTGTTATGTTCGTACGTTGTTTCATTTTTTTTCTGATAAACATCTAACCTCGTACTTGATAAAGGACAGAGTCACTGTCTTGTTCAATAATCTCGAGTTATATATATATCGAAGAAACGTAAAAAATTAAATAATAAAAATTAATTGATCGTTTAGTTCTATTCTCTTTTTCAATCTAATACACATATTTCAAAATTTGCCACTTTAATAAATATAAACGCGAGTCTTCCATAACTTAACGCAATAACATCTTCCAGTCACTCAACGAGATTTATCTCTTTGAAACAGTGACGCAGAAAGGAAAAATCCACGACGTTTGAAACACGTCAGCTTGATCGATACCACTTGACAGTGACATATCGGGATCGAAAAATGTCCGGCATGAGATCCGCGACCTTTAAAACGTAGTTGCCGATTTTTCAACCGCGTTTCTGCCCGAGTGCCCGACGATAACGCGCGGTTTCCCGCGCGATAACCAACGAGTCGAGCGAAAACGATGATATTTCACGGGCCGGGGAGAGCGGCTCCTCGTTACGCAACCGGGCCACGCTTCCCAGCTGTCCGATCGTTGGTTGGAAGGGGAACGACGGGGCAACATGGGTATCGTAGGGCAAAGAAAAACAAGCCCACGTCAAACGCGTACATCGATTACCGGCTTGTTTAGGTTAGGCGATGATATGCCCAGCTGTAACGGAGATCCCGGGAAAATTAGACTTATTTCCGGGGCCAATGCGAATTTAGACATTGCTCTTTTTTTTTTTGTTGCATTATATTAACGCATTGTTATTCGATTATCTTATAGAAATAATAATGTTTTTTTACTTATTTTTATAATTAGATGAAAAATAAAATGAATAATTTTCAATAATTATTAAAGATCTGCTATTTGAGAATGAATAGGTAAATGTTTTTAAATAAAAATTTAGAAATTATAAAGATAGAAATTTAGAAATTTAGAAATTTGTCAATACTATGATAAAATCAGCTTCTGAAACGATACACTGTTTTACAAACAGTGAGTGTCTAAGATTATGTTCATCTCTTCGATATGTAAATGCAGAACAAACGTTCTTTATTCATGGCTTGACATTACGCGATACGTTTAGGGAGTAAACTATATACTACAGTTGGTCAAGAGTTATCCGAGCATACTTCACAGAACCACCCAATGCTATTCTCGAGTCCGCGTTTCTCAATCTGCTCGACGATACCCAGTAGAGCAGTAGCGCGAGCATCGAGTTGTTTCCCGAGTAATCTAATTTCCAATTTCCGCCCGGAGGACGGTTTGCGCGATAAAATTCCGTGTTCTCAGCGTATAAGTTAGCTACCATCCTTCCCTCTACCCCCTGTTCTCTCGTGAAAACCAGTAATTACCAGCGCGGTCAAAGGATGTCGGACGAAACACCGTTG